TGACACCAAACAGCTCTTTCTGTATTCCCCTTTTTGTAAATCCTGTGAGCTATTGTTACTTCCTTATGCACATTGAGTATCCCTGCTTCTTTTTAGGGAAGGTGAACCAACCTTTCTTGAAGTGATCAGTCATACTCTATTCAGCAAAAGTATCTCTAATATGAAAGACCTAAAAAGTAATGTAATCTAAACCATAGACAGTTTATCAAATAGTTTTCAAGTGTGGTAGGTACAAAGCAGAGTTGCTATAAGATTTATTTATTTTTTTTTGGCGGGGGGGGGGCGGATATTATCACTTGCAAAATTATTTAAACTAGAAAAAAAAGCAGACATAAATAACAAAAAATATTCTTGGGTATACAACAGTTGTTCTAGAAATGAAACACTGCTATATGCGCACCTCTTTCTAGGTTAGAAGTAACTGTGTTCTGGACTACTTATTTTGCTTTGTGTCTGGAAATCCATAATGGATGTGTGTCCCAAAACTGTGCACTTGCAGGTGCGCAGTGACTGAGTTTGACCATGGCTACTGTAGAAACAATCACAGCAACCGCCCAGGAAAGAAAAGCTTGAAAAACAAGTCTGCTACCTATCCTTTAAAGATACAGGTCTGAAGTAGAACAGGAGAATTGTGTCCTCCACCCACGTAACCTAATCTTAGTTCCAGAGACTGAGAGCTAGAATCACTGTTGTAATTCATAAACTCCCCCTTTTCGTGTCCCTTCCCTCCTTCCTCCATTCAGTTGCTCAGGTATTACTAAGGCTAAATAAGGTATTGTGCTGCCATGACTCAAGTTACAGATTTAAGTGTGCTCTTTATCAGTGATCCTATTTGAACTGATAAGAGCACTGGCTTTTTCTGCTCAGACCATGCCAAATGGCAGGCCTAGCCTTGTCACATGTAGCCCAAACAAAACTCCCAAACAGGAGTACTTCTGGTTTTCCTCACTGAAATAAAAGACAGAAGAAAAAGAAGCTAAAAAGAAGCCCAAAGAACTGAGGCATCGTACCAGTTGAAAACATAAAGAGTAGTTTCCCACTGCAAATAACTCTGGAAGGAGGTGGATAGCAGATGTAGTTGTGCCATTATGTCCTCCTAGATGTAAAATGTTGGAAAACTAAGGTTTCTGTGGATACTGTGAAAAACTTTATTTGATATAGAACGTGGTTCATGTATCACTAATAGATTCTAAACTTAACACTGCTTAGCCACTGAAAATATTTTACTTTCGTTTTGGACCTCTAAGCAGAAAAGCCTCCAAATTGTCTTGCTTTTGAAGGGAATAATGCTGAGGTTAAAACAGATTTGTGGCATAGGAGTAAAGCTCTGGTGTATGACTATGTGATTAAAAAAACCTAAGAGGTCAAATTTTTGTTTTTTTTTTATTCCTTTTTAGCTGGTATCCAAATATACATTATTAATTGAAGTAAGAGATATGGCAGGTCAGCCTTTTGGTTTGTGTACCACGGGAACAGCTGTTATTAAAATTGAAGATACAAATGACAATGCACCATCTTTTAAGCACATGCAAGTAAGTCTTCATAAACTAAGTGTGTGTAAAAAGGTAAAGAAATTATAGATTTTGATCCCCTTTCTCATCTCCCAACAGCAGTCATTTGGGTATGAAGCCTAATGTCTTGGCATACTATTCTATTGTCAAAATAACTTCTCTTATAAGGGTTTGAGATTGCCATATTGTTTGACAGGCACATTTGGTGTGTATTAGGCATTTTCAGTCATTTACCTTAAGACTACTGAGTGAAAACTAATGTGATTCAGTCATGGTTCCTGCTCCAGTGCAGCAATCTGATAATGTAACCATATTTAGATAGGCCAAGATTTAATACTAAACATGTCCACAGCCTCACTGACCCTTATCAGCTTTTGGCTACTTCTATGACATTATGACACATATGAAAATAAGTTGGTGTCAATGAAGGAGATGCACCAATATTTTGCAACAGTTTTTTTTTTTGCTATTCCAACTCATTTCTCTCCATACAGAAATACTATTTGAACAATTTCTTGTTCAACCATAGCTATAACCCAGCTTTAAATCCTGTTTATTTTATCCTTCTGAATTACTTCCCTTTCTTCCTTCACATTTTAACTTAAAAATTGTGACTGCCATTTTTCAGAAGTTTATACCAGGGACAAAATTTGACCTTTAATTATTAGGTTAACTTCTCTTCAGTTAGTGGCAGTTTTAGGACAGAGACTATGCTTCAGTAAACATAGGTATAAAAATGAAATATGATGAAAGACTTTGTAATACAAAGCTGAACAAAAGGAGATAATTTTCCATTATGTATATTATCTTCTTTTTTTTTTTTCTCACTACTGCATAATATCATCAATAATGGTACCTTGGAATTACTCCTATTTATGCTTTCTGAACTTCCACAAACACAGTTCTTTAAAAAACACATAAATGAAAAAAAAAAAAAAAACCCTTTAATTCCCTGCCATCCAAGTAGAGAGATATTTCACCCTTCTAGACTTTTCTTATCCTTCTGTGGGTTCCTTACATATATGCGTGTATATATGTATACACACTCACACACACACATATATATACATTTACTTCGTTTACCCCATAACCTTTCCTTGTTCTCAACTTGATCATGTTGTATAAATATCAGCATCTATAGCTGATGTAGCTCAGGGGGATATTGCTCCTTTCTGGGAAGGAGAATTCCAGACTTAATTATGTCGTTGAGACTTTTAGAGATTTCAACTGTGCTTACAGGTAAGACTTACCATAGCAGATAGTAGAAAAGTGTGGACAATACACTAATGCATTAAAACAAAATGGATCGTTACACCAGGTTGCTAAATTGGGTTTAAGAAGTCAGGGGAAGGAATACTCATTTAAATACAGTATTCTTTCACTCCTGCATTGTGCAATTGTGGAATGGTATTCTCTGACTTAAATCAATATTTTCATATTTTAAGTATGAAGCACGGGTGGAAGAAAACAGAGTGAATGTAGAAATACTGAGAATTGCTGTTCTCGATCTTGATGAACCTGGTTCACCTGGCTCAGGAGCTGTTTTTGAAATTACTAGAGGAAATGATGATCGCTCCTTTGAAATTACAACGGACCGAAACACGAATGAAGGGATTCTGTGCGTTGTCAAGGTAAGTTACAAAGAGAATGCTGGAGAAAAATCTGTGTGTCTTGGGGTGTTGTTTTTAAAGCCATTAACATAAATCTCATTTTTATTCAATGAATATCTCCAGCTATCAGGTAAATTATGTTTTCTTACTAAACTCAACTGTATTCTGAAACAGCTTGCAAAGTGTACTGCAAATTAGGCCTCTTCATTATATGTAATTTGAACAAAAGTTTAATAATTCATCTTTCAGACTACTACTAGTTTTTGTGTATGCAGCATTCAAAGAATGCTTTATTTTATCATGCCAGCAAAACATGGCATTTTAGGCTGGTTCCACAGTTTGAGTTGTTTAGCTCTAGGGAAGTAACTGGGGATTGTTCCATGTCTATGCTTTTCATAGAAATGAGAGGCCAGAGAAGGATTGATGGGCACCTTCTCCGGTCTTATTCATTTTGTGAGCTATCACACTTAACAACTTGTACTTTGGCATGTTCCTTAGGCCCTGATTATCATTCTCATTGTCTGTTAAAACTGTGCAATAAGAGGTGTGTTCTAAGGAACAAAGTATTTTAATATTAAAATTTGAAGATGTAACAACAATCTTCAATCAGGTGAACTGGCAGAGAGATGCCAGTTAAGTTTGGATTTTATTTAATGTTTTGTTGCCAGTAATCATTTAAATAAAGCTTTTCTAAAGCTATGTGCAGAGTGTACTAACCTGCTTCTTGCGGAGTATAACACTCTAGCATACTGATGTGTTTAGGATATAAATAGCTCTATTAATGACATACTATATCTTTGGAGAAGGTGTCTTAAGACTGCTTTTGTAGAGGCTGTTGATCAGCCCCATAAGTTCAGATACATTTGCAATCATGTAGAGTCATGATAGAAGATAATAAGGGGTGTGACTGACTAGTTCTAGAAAGGAGATATTATTAAACTAAAATAGTGATCAGCTAGATATGGGAGAAGGAAACCCTCCACCATTTCTGCAAATGTATAGCAGAGTGTTATTGTAAAGTTGTGCTGCAGTCATATTTACATTGTTAAAGACAGCACCTTAGATTATTTTCTTAGTTAGAACATAGTTAGAACTTAATTTTCACTGAAAATCATGTCCCTTTCCTGTGTCTCAAGCTGGATGTTCCAAAAGAATAGATGATTTCTTCTGTAAATAAATGAGATATTGTACAGTTTTGTCCATTTAATAATTGTTTTGGGGAAACAACAACAAGTTTTATACTGTTATGAAGAAAAAAAATAATCTGTTTTACAGGGTCTGGATTATGAAAGCTCCAGGCAAAGGACCCTTGTGATTTCTGTCAACAATGAGGCACCTTATGTGTTAGCACCACATTCAAGACAACTTGCCCAGAGCACCAGTACAGTTATAGTGCACGTCATTGATGTTGATGAGGGACCTGTTTTCAAACCCTGTCTCCTTACTCTGGAGGTTAAAGAATGTGAAGAGATGGGGACACTTATTGGGCGTTATGTGGCAGAAGATCCAGAAACTGGGAATAGTGAAGGCATATGGTATGAAACAATGTTATTTTTTAGTTTACTTGGTGTACAGAATGAGGGAGATATGGGCTATATGTATGTGCAGATGTGCGTGTGTGTATAAATACAAATATCCTGATCTGCATGTGTGTGTTACATATAGGCTGGTTTGTTGATTTGTTTGAGGCCTTTTCTTAAATTACAAAATTATTCTTGACAGCTACCGGATAGCACCTGGCCAATGCAATTGGATTAACATAGCTGAAAAAACAGGTGAAGTCCGAACTAGCAAAGTCTTGGACCGCGATGTGGGAGATATGAGACGAGGTCAATGCAACATTACAGTCCTCGCAATAGACAGAAGTGAGTACCAAATGTTCTCAGTATCCTTTGTCATCTGCAAAAGATCTGCTCATCTGCAAAAGATCTGCAAAAGATCTGCATAAGCCAATCATATGTAGGAACAGCTATACATGGCCAGATCAGAGGCCCACTTTGTCCCATGTCGTACCCTGGGATGACTCTATATCAAATGTGCAAGGAATATTAGGCAGTACATCTGCTCCTATTTAAAATTGCTTTATTAAATTAAAACCCAGGGATTTTGGTGTTGCATTTATTTATTTACACATTGATTTTTTTCTTTTTTGATAGCATCTGGCTGCCCTGAAGTTGGCAACAGAGGAATAGTTGTACATATTATTTTTCAAATATGAGGTTCTTACTCTTGGAGCTCTCCTATTGTTTTCTCTCTCTTTGACCTCTTAGTGTCTTCATTTTGGAGACTGTAAATTAAGAGAACCGATAGTAATAGGCGTATTCACTGCTGTATGTTATCAAGCTCATACTCATCTTCAGGAGTTTAGGTTCCGTAACAGTGTTATATCTTGCTCAGTGAGGAGCTCTTATGTAGTCAGTTAATTGTAGGGAATGTTTGGACACTCAAGTTCTCTCTTCTAAAACAGGTTTTGGTTCTGACGTAACATTAGTAAGCATTTGAGGCCTGTAGTTAGCGGTGCCTGCCAGGGGTGAGTCCTTGGTCCAGCTCTGTTCAATTTATTCATCAATGACCTGGAGGAAGGCACAGAGTGCTCCCTCAGCAAGTTTGCTGATGATACAAAACTGGGAGGAGTAGCCGATACCTCAGACGGCTGCACTGCCATCCAGACGGACCTGGACAAACTGGACAACTGGGCGGTGAGAAACCTCATGAAATTCAACAAGGTCAAGTGCAAGGTCCTGCACCTGGGGAGGAATAACCCCAGACACCAGTACAGGCTGGGACCTGACCTTCTGGAGAGGAGCTCTGCAGAGAGGGACCTGGGTGTCATGGTGGACGACGAGTTGACCATGAGGCAGCAGTGTGCTCTCGTGGCCAAGAAGGCCAATGAGATCCTGGGGTGCATAAGTACCTCAGGGGAGGCAGCGAGGAGGATGGTGCTGGCCTCTTTTCACTGGTGGCCACCAAGAGAACTAAGGGTAATGGCCACAAACTGAAGCATCAAAAGTTCCACAGGGACTTAAGGAAAAATTTCTTAACAATGAGGGTGACAGAGCCCTGGAACAGGCTGCCCAGAGAGGTTGTGGAGTCTCCTTCTCTGGAGATCTTCAAAACCCTCTTGGACGCAGCCCTGTGCCACGTGCTCTAGGTTACCCTGCATGTGCAGGGGGGTTGGACTAGATGCCCTCTAGAGGTCCCTTCCAACCTTAAGGATTCTATGATTCTGTGATCTCTTCTTTATGATTACTTTGGGTATACATATTTACTATCTGTTTTAACAGGAGATTTAGCTCTGAAATATGTATCATATTAAAAAGTACTTTTTTTCTAAAGCTAAATATGTTATGAATTTTATCGTGCATAGAGAAAATACAATATATGCCTCTGCAATTAGACATCTGCAGAGAAATTAAAAAATAAATTGACTTGATGGAATTTCATTGGTATGCACTTGCAAGTATTGACCATTCCTATATCATTAAAAAAAAAAAGAAATTGGAAGGGAGAACTTGATCAGTTCTCACATGTAGAGAATTACATAGTATGTTTGGGTGCTGAATCCTGGTATGGCCTAGTGACTCAGTGGGAAGAAAACAAAAAAATGGTATCTGAAAGGTGTTCACGTTCACAGTCATCTTAGAAGCTCTGATTTTTTTTTTGTTTGTTTGTTTTTGTTTTGGAGCGTTTTTATGAAAAATCGCCCTGCCACCTGTCTCTTGCTCAGAAGCAGCAAAACTTTCAGCTGCAGATTCCTTTTCTGCTCTGTCTTTCTTGTCGTCTCCCTCCTGTGCCTGCAGTTCCTTTGAGGATAGCACATAAAGAGGAAGAAACCAACTGCAATACTTTGTACTCTCTTCCCAGAACAGACTAGTTCTTTCTTGTCGTCTCCCTCCTGTGCCTGTGCCTCTTCATACTTTCCATCTCCTGTTTTTGGTTGCACTTAATGGTTTCTAACCAAGTGATCTACGGTATGACCACGTGAACAAAGAGAAGGACTCTGTAGAAATAGCAAAGAAAAAATTCCTGTTCTGCTTTTAGCTAAATCAGTAGCTACTTTCCGCTTTACAGTTAAACTTAGATATTACAAATGATTATATTTGATTCTGGAACCTAAGAGTAGAAGTAAAGAAACAATGCACTGTAAATAAGCACTAAAAGCAACCCTTTTTATCTTGCAGGTGGCAAGACAGGCACTGGAACTATTCAGGTTATCATCAGGCCTGGGAACAAGAACTACCCGCGCATCGCTAAAACAGAGTACATAATGTGCAGAGACCGAAAGCCGATCTGCCTCACAGCGCAGGATGCTGATGTGTCTCCTTTCAGCATGCCTTTTGTGTATCGTGTCGCTGACCGAAGCTTGTCTGCCTCATGGAAGGTAACCCCGCATAACGGTATGTTCAACTGCATCCTGCTGTACATTTGAAAAAAAGTAGAATATCTTCCACTGCAAGTAGGGTTATTGCGTCTTGGCAGTCAGGAGATTAGGGTGTGTTTCACTTGTTTGATAACTATACCTTTTCCTGAGCCTTGTTTATCACAGAAGTTGGCATACCTGTTTCAGGTCTAATCTCTTAAATCCCTCTGCATTTCATTTAATCTAGATCTAGGGGATATAGAGTAAATGCCAACACCTCTGTAAGAGCATACACGCATAACTTTAGAAGAATGTAAGTATGCAGTGGCTATGGTGCCAAAGAAAAAATAAATCTCTTTTTAGGCTGCTATTATGGGAAAGGACTGGGAAACTGAAACATTACCTAACATTGATTAGAGGTAATCTGGAAATATCTTGGTAATTATTTTCTCAATTGGGCTGACATCCAGCACACTTTAGCTGCAGCTGAGTTCAGTGAAAATATTATTGCCTTCCATAGTGTATTTATGTTAATTTGGATAATTTTCATAGAAGCAGGTAAAGGATTTACTACAAAAGCAGTCACTATCCCCTTAGATGTGCTCATGCAAAAAGTCGTAGGTGACAAAGTATTTTCTGATAAAAGCATTAAGAACTGAAAAAATACATTTGCTACTGTGTTGTCAAGCCTCAGAGGGGTCTGGTTCAGAAGTGGGACTTCATGACAAAAATTCATGAATAAAAGGAAATGATAGAAAAGTCTGAGAACAAAGACCACTTGGAAGCTTCAAGATTTATGTTACGCAAATTGAAAAAAATATTTTAGAAGAGACAAAAAGTTTCATATGCATGTACAAAAAGCAACCATTATGTTCATCAATGGTAGATGTTTTTTTACATATTTTTTTCAGCCTTTAAAACATATGCTCACTAGTCATTGCTAATAGCAGGGCAACAGACTGAATGCATTTCATTTCCCATTGAGTATAGTGTCTCCTATGCTAAAGGATGGAAGTGGTTAATTTGTTTTTGGATTAATTATTGCAATTGGACCATAAAAATCCTTTAATAAATACCAGTGATGTTATTTATGAGTAAATACAGTGTCATTTCCCATCATGAACTGAATCAAGTTGAAAGTTTCAAATCATTTATTTTCAAAAGTTCATTTTTTTAAAAAATACGCTTTTTTTTTTTGCAAGTGTATTTTTTAAAAAGGGTGTTGAAATAGGATGTGGAAGACTGTAAGTGCTTTCAAACACTTATTTTCATGCTACTAGTAGTTTACTTTTAGCACATTAAAGATAACTTAAAACTAGATAATATGGATCTGGTAGCAGTATAGTTATACCAGAAACTAAGAGCAATCTTACAGTGACAATTGCATGGCTGTATCTCATTATCAAGGATAAAATCTAGTTGTGTAATTTTGCACAGCATCTCTCTCCCTTTCTAATAACTGATGATGCTTTCTGGACTGCTAGGAGTTGATTGGGGTAAGAGTGAAAGGGGTCAGGGGAATTTCAATTATATTTAACAGTGGATGTCTTTTCAACTTTTTTTTTTCCCAGATAAATCAGCATATCTTTCACCAAGGGGTGACATTCCATTTGGAAAGTACACTATTCCTATAAGCGTGTCTGATAACGGAGGAAAACAAGGAGTCAGTTATATAACAGTTAATTACTGTAATTGTGATACTCCAAGCGATTGCACTGAAGAAGGTACCGACCCTCGTGACTTGCCAAGAGCTGGCCCTAGTGTCAGTCTTGGGGTATGGGCCATCCTTGCCATGATCTTAGGATCACTCTTACTGCTGTGTAAGTATACTTTTTCAATATGAATTGCAGAACACTTATTTTAAAATAAGCTTAGAGAGCTCAATTTTAACTTGACTGCAGCATTTCTTTCTATTCAGGCTCGATAAGCCCTCATCAGTGACTTAAGGCACCTGTTATATTTATATTGGTATCACATATTTCTCACCTCTGTTTTGTCCTTGTGACTGTAAGATACTTTTTGTAAGATATTCTATATGTCCATGTAAGCAAGGCCGAAAAAAATGCATTTTGCATTCTGCAGGAATTCTGAAATCTCTTTCCTAGAGCTTTTTGGTGATCCTTCATATTTCATGGAATAAAACATTGAGACTCTGAGGCACTGAATTTAACAATAAATTTTACAGAGACAGCATAATGTTGGACAGATTAGTTCCACAGTAGACCTGTTAAATACATTTTGTGTTACCAAGTTTACCAAAGACTAACAGGTACTTAACAGGTAAATGTCACTGTTAACCAGTAAGGAGATGATAGTGATGAATATAACAAAGCAAGACCTCCGTGTTAACAAGAATCATAGTGTCTCTGTAGCCACGGATGGTGCTGACTGTACCACACAGTGTTCATGTTTTTAGGAGGAATCTGATGATTCTATAGACGGAATAGATTAATGAAAACTCCTCATCTTTAATCACCTGAGGACATGCTAAAGTAACAAATGCTTCAGTGCTTTCTGCTTTCAATGACCAGTCTTCTCCCTACTCAAAGTTAGCTATCTATTCTTGCTGGGTAGATAAAACACTGGGACCTGCACATGTTTTGAAAGCTAGGTATATCTGTGCTTTATCTGAACACCACAGATAACTGAATTTAAGATGTTATTGTGAGGTGGAACTTGCATTGGAGATGCTCAGTAGAGGTACCTTGTGAAGGATTAGATAGGTTTCTATCACTGTCCCTTAGCTATTCAGTTCAAGACAGACTTGTTCTTTTATTGTGGACAGTTTTATCCTGTACATCCTGTGCTCAGTGCTGGTGTGGATGTCTTCTTCCTATTGCCAGAATCAGCAGGCTATCCACTGGGTTACTGATGCAGGTCGCACCGATAGCTGATCATTGCATCAAAGTGCGAAGTGGCTCTGGGCTAATTCCCGCATAGATTTATGAGCAGAAATCAAATTGCTCATGGGTAGTTAGGCAGAACTAAGTTATTCCTCATGGGCTTCGTTTTAAGATATTGGTTTGATAAAGAGAAGGAAAGAATAGTTCTTTGAATGAAATATCCTGTTCTTCATTTAGGAGTAGTATTAGTTATGCATGTGCTTTTTTTAAATACAAACTTATTTCTGGCTGCGTCCCTGTGAGAACGCTCAGTATTTTTGCGGTAGCTAAGCTACTGTACTGCAGTACTACAGTAGTTTACATATTAGTTCCTTATCACACATTAGTTCTTTATCACACATTAGTTCCTTATGACATAATTTGACATCTGCTTATGAATAAATAAAAATGTCTAACATGCAGTACAGCATATAGTAGTACAATATAGTACATGTTTTTTTTGGTCTTGGAATGTTTTAGGAAAGGAGCTTGCATTTATTTTAGAGAAGTCAAGAGAAATTTTGAAATAAAAAAGTAGTTCAAGAATATAGTGAAAACTCCATTTATTATTTGAAAATAAATGAGTAGATTATTGGTATTTTTAGAAACAAATAATTGTTTTAATCATTTTTGATGCTTAAGCAATTTAAAATGCTATTACAACAATATTTATTTTTGGTCTAAAATAAGTATCATTATGAGATAAAACTCATAGTATCTTTCTCACTTACTTTTTCTCCGTAGTAATCTTGATTACAATTTGTGGCTGTTGTGGCTCTGGGATAATGCACAGACAAGTCACCGATGATTGTGCTAATCACAACTTAATCATTTCAAATACGGAAGCTCCAGGGGAAGAAGTGATGGTGAGTTATCTATTTATTTCAATGTAGAAACACGTGGTTAAGATACCCATAGCATTCTCTTTGAATACTTGCAAGGATCAGTAGATGTGCTTTGTCCATTTAAAAAGAATATTTGGTTTAGGCAGAGTTAGGAGTACCAAATATATTTAAATATATGTTAGTCTATTATTACAAAACCCTATTCCCAGTTGCTTGTAACTCCTGAAACTTTAGCTGTTTGGATTGGAAGTTTTAGGTAGATATTTTAATTATGTCAGGCATTTTCAACAGTTAAATGAAAATTTAACTGTTTTGCCCATGTTAAATATGTGATTATGGCAAAGCATTATCATTGTTCTTCTTTGAAGAAGGAATACTAAATTTAGCATATGATAGGTTTTTATAGATGTGACAGGGGCAATTTTTGCGATCCTCTTAACCTGATTGATAGGTTGATTTCTGAGCCAGTAGAAAAAAATCTAATTGAACAGTCTGTGTTCAGCCAATATGTTTTTCATTTTGTCAGCTGAAGTATTCTGAAATCCTATATACCATGAATATAGTCCAGCCCAAAACTGCATTGATGCAGTAGAACTTATCTCCTCAGATGCTGTCTCTTCACTAATTCTGCCCTCCCCAAAAATTAGGTGACTACACTAAGAATCATTAAGTTTACTTCACTCAGAAAAGCAAGAAAGTTATCTTAATGCTGACAAATGTCAAATTTCTCTTTTTGTGAAGTATTACTTATTAGCACTTATAAGTTGGCATGGAGTCCTTATTTATGTGATCCCATAGTAGTTTTCTGTGTGTAGAGTGCAGAGACTTAACGTGTAATGAAACAGAATGAAGCTTACACTTGTAAATGTGTATCCGATTTAACAGATTACAAATGGATGACTTTGCAAACCAAACATTAATTTTATGTGATATCCGACATCTCTAACAGTTCCTGATTTGTTTATCCTTTTGAATTAAAAAAAAAATGTGTCTTTTTTTAGGATCACAATATAATTCCTCTACAAAATACAAATGATCAAGGAGGATATGGAGTAAAAACAGGTGACCAACAACCGTTTGAAATGGTGAAAGGAAAAGGGCATACTCTGGAATCCATCAAGGGAAGTGGACATCAGACCCTGGGATCAGTCAAAGAAGTAGGAGGAGGAGGAGGAGGAGGACAGCCTATGATGGATACGTGTAGATATTCTTACTCAGAATGGCATAATTTCACACATCCTCGCTTAGGTGAAGTAAGTATTTTGATACAGGCCTCCTAGAGTCTGTATTGTTATTGACGTATACAACCTTTTCCAGGAAGGAAATACGTATTTGGGTAGAAGGCTTTTCTCCCTTTTTCTTACTTTTTTCCCCTAGCTCCCATTTGGAATACCTCTCTTTAGGTTAAAAAGTCATCCTTCATCTTTTTGGGCGCATAGGTGGACTTTCTTTTCTTGGCTTAAATTTTAAGCAGTATGCTGTTTTTCATTTAGAATAATTTATTTTAGAATAATTTATTTTAGAATAATTACTCAGATATCTTTGTGCATGTGTTAGTTTTGTTGTTGCTTTGGGTTTTTTGTTTGTTTGTTTGTTTTGAGAATGTCAGCTTTTATTCTAACTACATTCTTTTTACTAACTTAGGACCTCATCCTTGGCAATAGTGATGAACATTAATGGTTCCATGCTTTAGAGATCAAAAGCTCTTTACTACCTGTCTGACTAGTTAAGTGTAATTCTGACTTTTAATTTCAAGTGAATTTTAGTTGTTTGACAGGTTATTTAAACAGGTTCTTCCTCTATCACTTTTATATACGTGATTCATAGAAATGATTTATTATTAAATACTTATATTTTATAGTCTGAATGATATAGACCAATGATGTGCATTTTTTGTATGTAGGAATCCATTAGAGGACACACTCTGATTAAAAATTAATCAATGAAAGGTAAATCAAAGAAATTATTTTTATGCAATATGTTTAGGATAACAATTTAAGAAAATAATAATGTTCTTTTCCTATGCAGAAGGTGCACCTATGCAGACAGGATGAAGAACAGAAACATTCTGAAGATTATCTCCTTTCATATAACTATGAAGGAAAAGGATCTTTGGCTGGTTCTGTAGGCTGCTGCAGTGATCAGCATGAAGAAGAGGCACTTGACTTCTTAGATCAGCTGGAACCCAAATTTAGGACATTAGCAGAAACATGTATAAAAAGATAAATGTGCCTTTCACAGTGCTGAAAAAAAACTGTAAATAAGTGGCTGTCATACTTCTTTTGTGATATTTTGGATTTAGATATTTTGGAATTGAATGCAACAGATTCTTCCATTGTGTTCTTTCCGGGGGAGAGGTTTGTCAGGATTAACTTAGAGTTGTGAGAATGTAAGTAGCTCTTCCTTGAAGTTTATGATAGCTTTTTTTCTCTCTACTATACACATTCGATCAAAAATGAGGGAGTCAGAACTCTTTTTTTCTTTAAATTGTGTTAATATAGTAATGCTAGTTTCTATTTAGCTTATATTTCCTATTCTTTGCGATTACTTAAAACACAAAACTATTTTTTTTCCTTTTAACTAATTATACAGCTTGAAAATTGTGTTGCATTTGGCTTTGGAGAAGATTTTTTTTTTACTCACTGTCTCTATTTTCTCTGGAAATAAAACTAAAAATATTACTGGTGAATATAAAATACCTTGTTAATTTCTAACATATATGAATTGAGATACAAAACAGTTTTCCTTTTTTCATTTAAAATAAAGAATACTGGTGGCTGCAGTAGAAAACTTTATATTTTGAAATTGAAAATTAAATATATATATATTGTATATATGTAAAATAATATTCAAAAATATATTTTTCTCCTAATGGGTTACCACCCATCAAACTTTCTATCCTAAGGGATTTATGGCATCAACAAATAGGGTATCAGCATTGTATGCGAGTATATATTTTTATTTTAGGAAATAAGAGATTAAGAAGAAAATAGGAAATAGGGATATTTGTTGTACTTAAATGATTGCAAAACAAATCCTGGCTTAAGTTTGTGCCTCAGTTTCTTGTGAGTTTTAACACAGTATCATTACAGAAAATACAAACTTTGTCAAGAGTTTTGTCCAGCGTAGCTCCCGCTGCCTTTTTGACTTGTCTTGTTATGAATTTCATTAAACTCTTTCTTTCCATAAGTAGAGCTGACAGAAGGTACAGCCCAAGTGGATGATCATAGATCATATTGATAGCATATTTTAAAGCCAGCTTTGTTAGAGATGCAAAAATATAGCAGAGCAAACTATCTGTTTTATGTATGTTGTGTGGTGGTTGTAGAGATGTGCATTTACACAGACCTCTGGCAGAAATCATCTGAATCCCATTTGTATTTTAATAGATTAAGCGCATATCTACACTACATATATATATATATATATATGAAACTGTGTATTACGTATGGTGTTTGATAGTAGCGTGACCTGAGGACTGCCATAAGCACCTTCCGAAATCGAGCCTCTGCTTCCCGGATTGCTTTTATTCCCAAATGCTTTTAGCATTAGCTCTCCTGGTGAAGTAATCTGTCTGCTGCACGTCGAGGATCCTCTTGTGTCTTAAAACAGTGTCTTCCTGCCAATGAGAAACTGGTGTAATTGCACAATTGCTTATTTCAGGTTTTGTATTTCTGCTCCTAGGATTTGCTCTGTAAACATATGCCTTAGGAAGATACTTTTGAAATTGTCTATAGCTAACGATCTATAAAAGGACTTACTAATAAGAGTGAAGAGTCACATTGCTCTGAATTTCAGTGCGCAACTACTGCTGACTTCTGGTGCTGGTAGTCAGTTCCAGTACAACTTAAAACTACTGAAAACCTGTGACATCTGCTGAAACTATAAAATAGTACTTTAAAACATCTGTATGCATCACACACTGTAAATACACTTCACAATATTTCTAGTAGGAACTAGCTGTGGTTAGTAATTTTCAGAGACCAAACTTAAAAGTATTTTAAGCTTTCCTTTAAAAGTGGTGGTAAATTCATCCTACACTATATCTATTGCCACTGCTAAAAGTGACAGTCACCAGCAGCAAAGTATTAGATGAGAGATAGGGTATTATGAACTTCTTTTATTACTAGAAATAAATAGTAGCATAAATGAGTTTTGCTGTACATGGAAAGGGCAGATCTGTGGCTAGTGTAAGTCAGGATAGCAAACTCAAGCCCTGCTGAATTTATGCCAGGTCTTTATACCATATCTGTCCCCTAATGATCTGCTTCTTTTTTTGTTTCTGTTTCTGTTTTCTGTTTTTCTTTTGGTCTCCTATCTTTATCTTTAATTGTTGTCTACTTACTTTTGAAGGTAATACTAAAGTCTATTTCCCCTTTTTATGTTTTTTTTTTAATTATTATACTAAAATCTTATAATTCAGAAGGATTTAGGATAATAACAGAATATACTGTTTTGAAAATTGGAGGAGGGAGGGCCATAGAGAAACATTTAGAGATATGGTTTATTTCCTCAAAAAAATGGATGAAATTAATTTGTGCTTTAATGTAATTGTTTTCATTTTAGCTATTTTAGGTAGATGGTTGCCATCTTTCCGCTCTTGGATTAAAATAGTAATTTATTGAAAGCAAAATAATGTTTCCTGCTCTAATTTGCATTCAAATTGTATACTTTTTTCTTTTTTATTTCAAAGAACATACATAATTACTTTTTTTTTTAAATAAAGCACAAATTTGGAGTCAATTCTATTTGTTCCTTTTTTTAAAAAAATAAATTGGTAGAACTGGACCAGCTATTTTGGTAAAACCCAAGAGTAGAAAGATGATAGAGATGCTTTTAAAAAATTAACCGTAAAGCATCATTTACATTGTATCTTCTAATCATGTGAATGACAATGTTGTAAAAAGCATTAAAGTTTACAAATACTAATTATCAAATAACACATTTGTATAAAGCATTCAAATGAAATATTTCAAAATGAATAAATCACTGATTGTAACTGCCTTGAATCATCTTAAAAATTGTGAAGACTTATTTTGTTCAACTAGGTCATTTCCAAACTATCTAGTTGTGTAAACAATATCTTAAAATCTTGTTTTAGGTGCATTTTGTACAACAGTGAGTAATAAAATTTTTGCAAAATAAAAGGATCTCCTACAGAAACTTCTTCCTTTCTTGCACTTGAGCTGGTTTATGAAGACAAATTTGCCTGTTACTGAAGCATGCTGGATTTTTAAATTTTAAAATGCTTTTAGGATGTTCTGCTATGGCACTGGGACTGTTTGTCCTTGCAACCTGAGCAAGGGTGAGTTGTAGGTAAGTATGGGGAGTTGTCTGTGGAGCTTCCCTAGTGCTGGTATAAAGAAGTGCTCAGAAACCAGTTTGAGCCCAAGCGCGTAGTGTTCTTCTGTTATCTCCCTGATAAAGTGTGTAACTGCAGAGTGAATTTGCAAAAAGCTGTGTAACTGCAGAGTAAGTTTGCGAGACAACACAGTTCCAATGTTAAAAACGTAATGAAAGCCATCGGGAGAAGATAACTTCCACCTTTATCAGTCATAAAGTTGTAGGATATTAGGATTGCAGGAATTGCTAGAGCAGTGGAATAGCAACTGCATGTTCAGGGAATTGCTATACTTTAGCTATAGCTTCTCTGATGGGTGCAAACCAGTCCAACCCTGAGTTCCCTAACACCATGGGGCCAAAGGGCACTGCCTACAAGCAGTGAGGAGAGAAGCAGTACAGGCAGGTGGGCTCGGGGACAAGGCAGCAGTCATAGAGCACCCAGGAGAGGTGTGTGCAGGTGGAGCTTGGCAGGAACAACCCCACCGGAATGAAGGATACTGCACTCACAGAGCCCAGCGCTTGACAGCTGCTTTAGCCATGGAGAAGTTGTGAGGACGAGAGGTGAAAGACAGAAGGGCTGATGCTGCCTGAACTGCCCTTCAGCATCACCATGAAATTGGGATCTAGCATCTTCCATTGGTTCCTTGACCTTGCTTTTTTTTCCAGGATGGATGTATTTTGGTGGGAGAGACCAAAATAATCTTTTATTACAAAACTATAACACAAGGTGTTACTCTCTTTCCTTTAATCCCATTCAGTGCCATCTGAAGAAGTTAAAGGCAAAGGTATCTTAGATTAAAAACACATTGTTAATGGAACAGAAATGCGTCTGAGATGAGAGGCACTGACCTGTCTAAGGAAGTTGGCCTTGCACTGAAAAACTGACTGCTATGAAAGACATCACCTTGTTTTGTGCTTTGGTTTTGGCCTTACAATATTCGATGTATACCTTTTAAAGGAGAATGTGTGTGTATGTGTTTTTCCATGATGTATTGCTGATTTCTGCACAAGAATTAATTCAACTCGCTATGTCTATTTGTCTATAAATTGTTTATAGGCTTCAAGTAGAAGTATGAACAGAGTCATTTGAACCTCTGCAATCTTTAATTCATTTAATGTCAAATGACATCATCCACATCCCTGCTGACAGAAATTCAGGAAAAATAAAGTGATGGGTAAAACAACATGAAATTTTGGAAAAGCTAGAATTATAAAATTGCCTATGTAATACTGGTATTTAGCAATTCTAGTCACGAAAATGTATAGAAGTGATATATATGTTGTTTGCATAGCTTTCAAGCATCTATTGATCTTATGCTTACTGATACTGCTCACTGAAACACACTGAAAACTTTACATATGATTTCAAAGTACCTAAAGAAATCTGCATGCCCACAGTATCAACTTCATATTATTTGGAGGAGCCCAGGTTTGTCCTTTTTATTTAAATAATTTCAAAAGCAATTTATTCTCCTAACCCGACCACCTGCTTCGCCTTTCCTCCTTTCTGTCTTTATCTTCAGCCTTGGGCCCAGCCTCTGTTTCTTTGAATATACTAATTCTAGCTCTTAATTATTCTGGTTCAGCTCATGTGTGGGCTTTCTGCATGCTAGGAAAGGCAATACAGGGATTGTATGCAAAAAGGAATTAATTCAGTACATGCATCTCAACTGTAGACATTTACAGATGAGGTAATCACCCTGGAGCTCATTTATAGTTAGCAGAATTTTAGAAAGTGGAGTCCAGGTGATGATTCATCTAATGGCCTCTATTTGGCTGGCAAATCTCATCCGGTCTTCCTCACTTCAGTTATGAGGTCCGTGGTTACAATAACAACTGAAAGGAAAGTCTTGGTCAACCACAAAAGTTCTTAGATGAAACATGAT